GGCGGCGGGACAGACCGCCCACCAGTTGAGCCCGGACGGTGGCTAGGCGGCTGTGGCCGCCCAGAGGCTCCGCGGGCGGAGCGCGGGGGCTTCGCCCCGGCCGGGGTTCCCTCGCTCCCGCCCTCGCCGCCGCTGAGTAGGCTCACGAGGTGATTCCCGAGCCCCGGGGCCGCCCGCCCCACACGGTCACGGGGCCCCGCCAGCCGCAAACGCAGGAATGACGTGGCGGGCTGGTTCTGCTGTCGGGGCTCCCCCAGCGAGGACCCGGGGGCGGGGGGCGGGAAGCCAGGCGTTTCTTCTGTCACTGATGAGCTGTCGCTGGTGGCAGGTCTCCTGCGAACCAGGCGCGACCCGAGTCCCCCATCACCTTCTCCAACTTTGGGAGCCGCTAACCATAGCGACTGGGTACGTTTCTTGTGGCATCGTCCTACAGAAGCACTTAAAGGTACCTAACTGCTGGCTTTCAAATGAGTAGCAATTTGTAGCCACGTGCCACATCCAAAGTCCTTTTTGTCCAAAAGCTGATAAGAAACTTGGTGACCCTTAGTCAGTTCGAGTTTGCCTAATGAGACTGCTAGTTAAAGTACAAAGAAGGAATTCCACAAATTCAGCCACCCTTGTAGATGTTGGCTCTATCATTCCTAACTAGCTCCATTGAAGACTAGAGGGACTTTATTTCTATAACCATTTACAAAGTATCAATAGGGTTTCTCTTATGAGTTGAGCTACTAACCACAAGGTCCACAGTTCGAAAGCACCAGCCCCTCCATGGGAGAATATTGAGGATTTCCTGCTTCTGTAAAGAGACACAGCCTCGGAAACCCACAAAAGCAGTTCTACTCTGTCCTCTAGGGTCTCTGTGACACGGAAGCAACTGCATGTCAGTTGGTCAGTTGGTTGGCAAGAACCTCATGTTCCCTAGTCCACTTTGTGAGATGCAGAACGGCCACTCTTCTCAACTGGCACACCTGGTCATGTCCACAACCCTTAACATATTTAATTGTTTTCATAGTGATGATACAAAACAAAGTTTTAAATGCTCTGTATTTAGGCTTATTATATACCAAAATAATCCAAACTAAAACCAAACTCACCTTAACCCAGTGCATTCCAACCAGTAACAACCTTATACCTGGTTTCAGAGGTGGTAAAAATATTTACAGGAGCAACCAGCCTCATCTTTCTCTCCCAATGTCTGGTGGATTTTAAAAGCCCACCATTCGGTTAGCAGTCCAATGCTTAACCCTCAGCATAACTATGGCTCCTATTCTTATTTAGTGTAATAATATAAACTTAAAAATAAATTGGAAACACATTTGGAAGACTCTCTAGGCTAGTCTAGGGTCAGGATACAATTTTAGCACTTTCCTTTCCTAATCCAGATCATGGTTTTGATGGAAAGTTTTTTCTTGGCTGACCGGGTGTGAAAGATTTTTTATTGTGGAGTGCTTATATTTCAATTGAGTCTAAGAACACTGTATCAATATGTCTAGAAAAGACCATTTCTAGCATCCATACTTTATGGAGTAGCTTTGTATCTTAAAATGTAGTCCCATGTGTAGATATATTGTGAGTCATGAGTTACAATCATAGGGTGATGTTAAGAGTTATTTTATCAAAATAAAAGAACTAAGAAATAACATGTATTGAGCACAGTGCTAAGTAGTTTACATACATTTATGCTCACAACAGCTCGATCAATAGGCATTTTAAAGATGAAAAAAATAGTTTGTCACATTCACTCCCTATCCCCGGAGCCTATTTTACGAAGTTGAATAAATTATTTTTTTAAATAATCAAGATGCCCAAAGAGGGTAGGTAATTTGTCAGAGGTCATAGCATAGAATTTGAATACCAGTACTAAGTTTAAGTGATTCTAGAATATGAACTTTGAAAATTAGTTTAAAGGTGTGTTGCCTGTGTCAAGAGATTAACACTATCAGCTAATGGAAAATCCATTGAGTGTTAGCTAACTGTGTCTCATAGAACTTTTTTTAACTACAAAGGCATCTGAGAGTCACCATAAGTGTTTCTGACCAGCACTTAACCAGCAACTGAAAAACAGGAAACGACCAAATTTAGCTAAAAGATCAAACTGTACATCAAGACCACACTTGATTGTGTGATTAATGGAATAGAAATCAAAACAAAAGCCAAAGACCAGGATGAACTAAGAACAAAGGAGATGCAAAATTCATTAGAAAACCTAATGCCAAAAAGATGGTAAAATGAATCTAGAGAAAGGGTTTTTGAGGAAGACTATATATCAGAATTAAGTTGTACACATACTCTGGACCTATTTAAGTCACCGTAAGAATTTAATTTGCCCCAACTGAGATAACTATAAAGATGAATTCTAAAAATTCAAAATGACAACCAAAATATGAATGTGGAGTTATAGTGTCTGATAGATTTCACCAAGACCTTAAGCGTTTGGCCTCAATCCTCCTCCCTGAGGTTTCTCCTACAAAGTAACATAGCCTTTCATTTTGACAATGTGATAGATATTAATTATTTCTGTTAATTTGTTCAGAATATAACTGGTTTGTCACTGCGAGTATTCTTCAGTTTTGAAGGGTAGAAGAAAATAAAGTGATTAAATCAACATTACCTTCACTCTTTTATTCCTAACTCCAAGTGGCTCAGCTAAACTTCCCAGTATCTCAAATAAACTAATTTATTTGTTATTATTCAAAATGTTAATACCTTGCTCAATGTTTTAAAGTATAGGATAGTATAACTACATATAAAGGTCTTTAATTTTGGCTTTTATTTCATAATCCAAAGGACTAAGACTATAGATGAGAAACATTTCTTGTCATAAAGTACATATTAAAATATAATACATTAGAGAGCATGATGCCACACATACATCAACCATCTAGAAATAAAAGCCAAAGTGAAATTCTTTAGAAGCACCCGTAGATTCTTTCTGGAAGCAGGCAGAATAGAAAGGTTAAATTAATTAAATTAACTGGGGATATAAAACTTGTGAGTTGTTTGCAGTCATAACAAAATAAATCACTTTTAATCTCTTCATTCAAAGTATGACATTAATTAGCATAACATTTCTTTTTTATCTTTTTCTCCTCCAGATTTAATTAAAAATGTAAAATTTGGACCAAAATATTCTCAAGATTTTATAGTATACTGATTCTATTTAGGTTTGGATATGGAATTTATAAATGGTCCTCAGACTGGTATCTGAGTGATAAATGTAAGATTTTCAATGGGTTTACTGAGGATCTCTGTCCTTATTTTTCAACCTAGGTTATCTTACAGGGATCTTCATGAAAATGGTTGAGATCTGAGCTACTAACCAACACAAGGCTCGCAGTTCAAAGTCACGCAGAGGCATTTTGGAAATAAATAAGGCCTGAAGATCCGCTTCCTGAAGGTCATAGCCTTGAAAACCCTATGGAGCATTCCTTTTCTGTACACAGTAGGTTCACCTTGAGTCCAAACAGATATGAAGCAACTAACAGCAATTACCTTTACTTACTGTTTCTGCTGTTAGAAAGTTTTCAACCTTCCGAATGCCGCAACCCTTTAGTACAGTTCCTCATGTTGTGGTGACCCCCCAACCATAACATTATTTTCGTTGCTACTTCCTAACTGTCATTTTGCTACTGTTATGGATCGGGTGACCACTGTGAAAGGGTCATTCAACCCCCAAAGGGGTCGCGATTCACAGGTTGAGAACCGCTGGTCTTTGCCATGCAAGTAATTTTAATATGTTTTTATTATTTAGACAAAATGTCTTTCAGAGCCCTTTCTAGTGATTTTTACCTATTTCCTTAGACTTTGTATATTTTAGATGATTATCCATTTAATTATAGATTTTTAATAAGTAATATACTTCATACATTATTTTTTATGTTTCTTTTATAACTAGGGAGTGAGCAATAACAACATAGAGAAACAACTAGTAACAAAACCAAAACCCACTACCACCTAGTGATTCTGATTCGCAGTAGCCCTGTAAGACAGTATAGATGTGCCCTCTAGGGTTCCCAAGGTTGTAAATCTTTACAGAAACAGACTGCCACATCTTTCCTCCACATGAGCTTAGTGCATGTCCTAAAATAGACCAAGCAAAGTGTGTTGTTGTCATTGTCTGTTTCCAAGTCAATTCTGACTCGTGTTCTTTTTAGGTGCCATCAATTCAGTTTTGACCCATAGCAGACCTTATGCACAAGAGATAACACTGCATGGTCTTGCAGCATCCTTGCAGTTGTTCCTATGCCTGACTGAACCCATTGGATAGCCAATGTGCCAATCCATCTCATTGATTGCTACCCCTCCACTTACCAAGCATGATGTCC